GCCCCCAGTGGCACAGCGGTATGTCTGCGGACTTACAACGCTAGAAACCGGGTTTCGATACCTGTGGTGGCAGAGCATAGATAGCTCTTGTGTAGCTTTGTGCATAATTAAAAACAAAAAACAAACATAAACATCGATATTAAAATAAATATAGAATAATAAATCCGTCACAGAGTTAAAAGAACTGTAGATGAAAATTCTTAGCAAAGTCTGTTAATTCATTTCTGTTTGTTATTTTCTTTGTTTGGAAGACATTTCTCTTCCAAACATATGCTTCTTTTATGTGTCACGTAAAGATTAGCATAACCATGCATATATCTAATGCCTTTTAGTATTCTATATTACTAAGTTTCAATAGTAAAAGAATAACGTGTGTTATGCAAAATATATGTTAATAACTTTTTTAATGACTTTACAATCGTACTTCTATCATTTTTCAATTTTTTTCCGTTAATTTATTTTTATATACTTTAATCCTAAATAATTATAAAGACATTGTCAAAATCTATAGAAAATTTATATTTTTAGCCACGGTATATCGGCTCACAGAATGGCTCTGAATTTTTTTCAAGTACAAACGTTTAGCTCATAGCTCCGACATCTCTTCACCGATTTGAGATCTAATTACAGTTTTGAACTCAGGAGTTCAAACCCTTTCGATTGATATATGTTGACGACGCCCAAGGTTTCATAGATTAATTTACTCTAATCCTGCCTAAAATAATTTCAGGTTGAGAGTAGGCTGGTAAAGATCCTGATGAGTAATAAAATCGAATCGGGTATACGCGCAAACCAAGCTTCGTATTGCTGGCACACAAAGATATAGCTAAAAAAAAAAGCTCTTAATTTAATATAATCCTGCCTAAAAGAATTTCAAGTGCCGCGGCTATTGAGGATTCCCTCTTGTTTATTTCAAATAATAATTAATTTATTAATAAACAGGCAATGTGATCATGTCTGTACTAATGCGAATGTCAATATTATGCAATTTCGTAAGTTGTTAATGTGAATAGATTTAAAACGGATTCTCAGGTTACATTTGTGAAAGGTTATAATATATTGTTTATTGGACACTATTATAAGGTTCTAAAAGTCATCATCATTAAAATGTTACATTTTAGTCATCAGTTTTGGTTTTCTTCTTTAACGCAACGTAACAAATATACATACTAGATATACTTCCGTAAGGTTACCGAAAGTTTTCAGTTTCAAGAGTAAATACAACCAAAATTAAGAGTAACAAATATTTTTATTTCTTGCTTTTGAAGTTCATATGACATGCCGTGTTGTAGCCTATAAAGTAACAATTCTTCACGTGATTCATAGTATGCGCACGTTATACTGACGTCACGACAGTACGAATTACAAAGTTAACCGTCCCTTATGTGACGTCATTTTAGTGTCTACTGACTGACTGACAGACAACAAACTACCGTACAATGGTGCGAGTGGTTAAAACAGGTGACCCCTCCAGACAGTTTCGATCCCATTTCGGGGAAATAACCAACATGTCTTGTATAGTTGTGGTACGTAAAAAATTCTGCGTTAAGCATTGATAGTCTTTAAGGCGGAATAATTGGGATTTAAAAATAAATCATACATAGGTCTGTTTTTCTTATCATAAGTCACATTTCAACAAAATTATTATCATTTTTTCATTATCACAAATATTTTATTCTAATTTTTTCTTTATAATCGACTGAGGAGGTTTGTTCATTTAAAAAAAATAGTTCTTTGTAATTTGTACACTGATGTTAAAACATTTTCCTTCCCAGTATTAGATATTCTTGCTACAAATTTCTCTGTTCCCCTAACTAAAAGTACAGGGCCCTAGAGTATTTGTCTTTTAGCAAAAATATTGTCGCTTTTAGACCATTTAGTTTCCGATTCCCACATGCAACGTGAAGAAGAAGAAGAAAAAAAACATTTCAACTCGAACAGTTACACTTTTGAAGAATCGTTATTATTTTTGCAGAAAGTATTGTTTAATTGACTTTTAGTTTGGATATTTTAAAATAGTCTTATAGTGATACTGGCTTAGTTATTGTTTAATTTTACAGCTTCAATTGCCACCAGTGGCTCAGCGGTAAGCATCGAGGCTTATTACAAACCGTAATGTAGAGAGAATTTGTTTTTCTCAATATATCAGACGTATAAGTTAATTCCTACCTTTGCATTTAAAGACTAACAAAGGGGTATAAGTGATATTCGACGTTTAAATTTTCTGAAGGAATAAATATTTTTACTGAAACTTAAAATAATCAACTTTCATCGTTTCTTTACTGTAATATATATACTAGTGTATACGACATACACAGCTGATGTGAGGATAAGAAGAGTGCATATTTAATTGATGAGCATTCATCTCCATATGTTTGATGTATTAGAGTACCGAACTTTCTTTAAAAGGAATGAATTTAAGAACATGGAGCCCAAAGATAATGTCAGAATTTCAAGACGCTTATTAATATTTATTAAAGCCTGTATGTTTTAACTGGTAACATCTGACAATGCATTTCGGCTTTATTTCACTTTATTGACTAGAGAGTATTGTGGATTTTTTTTTTTATGTTATCCTTCTTACAGAACGTATATCGTTGTCATGGTTAGAAATTAGTGTTGTAGACTGTGGCTCAGCCCTGGTAGCTAACTTGCGAATTATTGAGGGTGGCCGAATAAAAACGTTGGTGTATGATAACGTTATGTCAAGTGATGCAGTAATTAAGAAAAAGAAGAATCAACACAAACAAAAATTCTGTGCAGTTGGACGCATCAACTTGCGTAAAATAGACTCTACAATCTCCCTTCATAAATTACCAAACGAAATTTACATAAAGTGAGAAGAAAAAAAGTGAATGTAAACAGTCAAACGACTAGATTGTGTTCGCAGATCGCAGGACTCAGAGTACTCTTAGTACTAGTCACCTTGACTCGAAGTAGACTATCGCTAGGTGCCTTGACTCGGAGTAGACCAGCGCTAGTCACCTTGACTCGAAGTAGACTATCGCTAGGTGCCTTGACTCGGAGTAGACCAGCGCTAGTCGCCTTGACTCGAAGTTGGTTATCGTTAGGTGCCTTGACTCGGAGTAGACCAGCGCTAGTCGCCTTGACTCCAAGTAGGTTATCGTTAGACGCCTTGACTCGAAGTAGACTAGCGCTGGACGCCTCTGTTCATATTAGACTAGCGTTGGGCGTCTTGACTCGGAGTAGACTAGCACTAACCGCTTGACTCGGAGTAGACTAGCGTTTGGTGCCTTAACTCGGAGTAAACTAGCGTTGGGCGCCTTGAATTTTTGATAACATAATATTCATTTTCCACGCTATTCTAGGTAAAGAATAAATATGAGAAAAATTCTATCCATAAGACAACCACGAAGAGCAAAACTTTCAGCCATCCAAACTTATGAACTCAAATATTGTGCAAAGTATTGTGTTCTTTATAATTAATTGCCTTATGCTTGGCGTGTATTCTTAATACCTATTGGAGGTAAAAACCTCTCCTTTAACGATGCCTTCAGAATTTCTGAAACATCACAAACCTGATTATTTTCTAATGACTTTTCTCCTTAAATAACAAACTTTGTCTTAACCACGAGTAATTTATGTTTGAAAACCCAGAACGTAATTCAAACATTTCATTATCACACAAACGGATATCTAAGAAGCCCATAAAAACTAGCGACACTGCCTGTAAAATAGAGCAGTGGCGCCATCTCGTAGCTACTATGATAGCCTAATATACGATCACCTCGATCTACCTATTAATTTGATTAGTTACTTTTTTTTTAGGGTACTGATAAAGCTAGGTTGTGATCAGTGTACATTAATAAGTAAAAAGAATAATTAATTAATAATTAGATTTAGATGATCGTATGGAATAATAACTGTGATAATTATTGATATTTATATCCAATCGCTTCAACCTTAATGTAAGCATTTAGTGATTTGGTCTTCAAACCTCTTCTGCAGTGTCTAATATGTATGTTTCAGACTAGTAGTACAAGTCAACTTGAAAATATGTACACAGTGGGGGCTTTATTGTAGAGAAACCCTACATAATTAAAGTAATATGTATTTGTTTACAACATATTTTCATAAGTCTTCCGTAAAGGTCATACTACAACAGTCAGTTTAAAATAGTTTGCTGGTTGTCTTCTTACTGAATTTAAAACCGAGACCAGTTGAAGCTGATTCTAAGTGACCAAATGATTCAACTTATATTAAAAAAAGAGAAAGAGAGAAAAGAAATTTGTGAGATTTTTGGATAATATTTTATGGTCATCTGATTAACTTCTAAACTATTTTACGATATTAAGTTTTTTCAAACATAAAAAAGCAAATGACTAAACTTGTTCTTGCAGAATGGCCGCTACTCTTGGAATGTGTGTTTCTCATGACAGTAGCGACACTGTGTAAAGAGCAAGGAATTACTGTGGTCGGATTGTGTTGTGCATACGAAGTGTTTGTTGCTCAAAAGGTGAGTTTGTTGTCTATACTTATTACAATACTTTTCTACGGTCATTTTGTAGTTGATTTTGTATAACTACCTAACTTACACGTTTTACTAGGACTCTTTCATCAGCAGTATTTATGTGGCAGGTTTTTGTTTTCAAACATAACTATTCTATGTATAATTTCCAGTTCATTACGCATTACTTGCAAGATGTTTTCGAGTTCAAAACGATACCAGATCAAGTTATGTGGACAAGTTATATTTTGCTGTCTTTCACTGGCCGCTAGAAACCGGGTTTCGATACCCGTGGTGGGCAGAGCACAGATAGCCCTTTGTGTAGCTTTGTGCTTAATAATAAACAACAACAACTTTCACTGGCTGTAATTATGTATTTAAGTTCACAAAGTTTAATACTTTCTTGGAGTTTTATGTATGTATGTAAAAGATAGAGAGAGATTTCAACGTAAACAGAAAGCTGAGAGACCTTATGTTGAAGCTAGTTTTAGGAGTATTTGATTTTGGTTTTTTTTAAAATAGTTAAAATATAAGCTCGAGTCAAGTCTGAACCTTCATAGCTGACAACATGGCAAGTACATATTCATTTGCTGTCGGAGATCGTTAATAGACGAGTATCAGAATATTTAATTTTTTGTCTGTGACTCGTTGCTTTATCTGAATTAACTAACTAATTTTTATTCAGCGATTTACTTTCCAGCTCACTAATAATTTTTAATGAATCCTGAATGCTGCACTTGGGAAATTCAAAACCGAAACTATAATTGCTTCTTGATGCATCCTTCTCCAAAACTAGACGTATGTTATCATATATTTCTTGTTATATATATTGTACTTCTGTGTTTCATCGTTTTTCCACAATTTTCTGCCCAAGGACGTTTTTAATTAAATTATTTTAAATGGAAAATTCTGTTAAGAAAGCTTGGGATATTAAAGAGTTTCGTATTCGGTCAACGAAAATGAAAGGTTTTAAGATTCGTTTTTAGGTTGATTATATATAATATATATAAAAACTGGATGTTGATAGATAACGAAATTAAATAAAAACATTCTACTGCCGTACATAAGACATGATTGAAGTGGCGCGATGTGTTTTATTTGATCTTAAAGAACGAATTGAAAATTATTAGGACGTTAGTCTAAACAATATAGAAGTGTTTTTTATAATGATTTTTAACTCTCATTAATAAATTTTCTCGTACATTTCATGGTTTTCGAGTCTAACAAAAACACAATAGTCCCTTCACGACCCATAGAGTAATAGTTCGGGTAGGTTTGAAATGGGCTAGCTATGGCTTTCTATTTTCTTCAGCTGCATTACAGACTGGAAAAAATCTGTTGTGATGCATTGTCGCACCTGTTTGGCATCATTCCCATAAAATGGAAAATATTTTCCAAAAGCATCTCATCAGGACATATTCCTTTGTACCAAGAACTAAACTTGGTGGATAAAGTAATGGTAATCATCTACAGCTTCCTCCCTTTGTGGCTTATTCCCGTGGCGATCATAATGCCTTTTGAAAATATAGCCTTTGCATTTGGAATGAGTTTTTCAAAATGAGGACGATAAAATATTGCCTGAACCTTATTATGGTCATTTAGACATATGAATTTCTAAAGATAAGTTCCCACCTATGACCTACCCGATTGATCGTAAAGCTTTCTCCATTTGATTCTCCCGAAAGAGGTGTGAGAGAAACTTGTACGAATGATTCTTTTATACAACACATTTATATCACCCCTTTTTCTGTAATTTTTTCATAATTATATATTTTTTTTGTAGTGTGCATAGTACTTTTAATTTTCTGATTTTGAGAAAATACAGTCACAGCTTTCACTTCTCAGGGTTTTTGTTCAGATTGATTCTTCAAGTTGTACTATGTTTTGTGATTTCTTACACTTATAAAGATATAATGATGAGTAGAACTTCGCACAGCGGCTGAAATGTGAAATAAATAGTGTCGTGCGCTAATTTTTACTATCAATCTTATAAGGAGATTTTCAATATAATGTTTACTTACATTAATTATTGATTTAGTTTTGAGACTTTTATAGTGTGGGAGTATGCACTCACATTCTAAAGTTTATTTCCACGATAGGGGCCGAAGACATCCTGGAGGGGTCACCTGTTTTAACCACTCTCACTACTGTACGGTAGTGTGTTGTCTATCAGTCAGTAGACACTAAAATGACGTCACCTAATGGTTGCTTAACGTTGCAATTTGTACTGTCGAGACGTCAGTAAAACGTGCGCATGCCATGAAGCACGAGAAGAATTATGCACTCTGTAGGCTACAACACAGCATGACATATGAACTTCAAAAGCAATAAATAAAAATATTCGTTACTCTTAATTTGGCCCGGCATGGCCAAGTGGTTAGGGCGCTCGACTCGCAATTTGATGGTCGCGGGTTCGAATACCCGTCACGACAAACATGCTCGCCCTTTCAGCAGTGAGGACGTTATAATGTGACGGTCAATCCCACTATTCGTTGGTAAAAGAGTGATGACTAGCTGCCTTCCCTCTAGTCTTACACTGCTAAATTAGGGACGGCTAGCGCAGATAGCCCTCGTGTAGCTTTGCGCGAAATTCAAAACAAATAAATACTCTTAATTTTGGTTTTATTTACTCTTGAAACAGAACACTTTCGGGGGAACTTGTGGAAGAACATCTAGCATTGCATCTATCAGTGAAGAATTAACTTTAGGAATAACATTGCATCCGCACGCTTATTCAGAGGTAGACTGCCTTATGTGATCACGTAAATACAGGGAGGTTTTACATATTGATTATTTTTAAAGTGTTCGGGAAATCATATGCGTTTCATCTGAACAAAACAGGTCACAATGATGTTGTCTTCTGAATTCTCTTTCTAAGTTTCAGGGCTTATAACACTGTAATTCGAAGTTCGTTCTTCGCGTCAGACACAGCTCAAATAATCCATTATGTGTAGCTTTGTGTTTATACAAACAATCAAACAGTAATCGATTAATCATATGCTCGCCATTGTGCTCTATAACAATCTCCTTCACAGTTTCTGCCGTATTAGACCTACAATAATCTATAACATTTTTTGTTGTTTTTTGAGAAGAACATTCATGTTACGTTATGAAGTAAAAAATGTACTTCTTTTAGGTGTTGCATAGTTAGGAGTGTGGGTATGGTATAGTGTTCAGCATTTCATGACTGTGAATCCGAGGATTCAAGGTGCAAAACTCTCTTATTTAGGGCCATGGATGCGTTATAAGAGCGACAGTCCAATCTGTCCATTCAATTAGACAAGAGTAACCTAAGAGTTGGCTGTGGATATGTTTATTAGCTGCTATCCCTCTAGTTTATCAGTTCAAAATTAGGGAAAACTATGCGCAGTGTAGCTTTACTCGAAACTGTAAAACAAACAATGCTTATATAGTTGTGTGTGTGTGTGTGTGTGTATTTTTTTTAACAAGGTTGTTTATATGTTTGGATCTTCCAAAAAAAGTCTTTATATAATTGTAATTATAGTATATCTCTTTCGTAATAATTTATTGGTAGTTTAATTTATTGTACGTAAGTGATAATATAATCATATAAAATGAAAAAATATAGCGGTATGTTTACGGATTTACATAGCCGAAATCCGGGGTTCGAATCCTTGTTGTGGACAGAGCGCAAATATCATATTATGTTAAAACAAACAAACAAAAAATCGTTAAACAATAACACTTATTTTCTACTCAGAAGCACGAGAGAATGGAGAAAGTTTCAAATATGCAATACTGGTATAAAGCTTTTTTAATACTGAACGAATCTGTTGAAATTATCATAAAAATTCACGCATTAGTGTAACACTCACCGAATCTTGCTTCGACATGTTCGCATATCCTTAAAACCCTAATCGGAAAACTTTACCGTCAGAAACAATGCTGAATATTCTTTAATACAGGATAATGTGATTTTTAATCTTTTGTTTAAATCGCAAAGCTCAGCAGTGCCCGTTCTAGTACCGTCCCGTAATGACAGCTAATCATCAACTATCCCTCTGTATTTATATCTCTGTGATTGTTATCGCTTGCACGATAGGTGTTATTCCATGTTAAAGATGTAAAAGCCTTTTAGTTTAGTTTCCAGCCAATTGCAATTCTAAACACGAATGATTAATAACGATTTTGGAAAGATGAAGGAAAGTAAGACTTGATTGGAAAAGGAGTGCCAAGAAAGTTCATTATTAATGTATAAGAATAATCGGATTAAAGAAGAGCTGCGATAGCCACAAGCTAGGGAAGATGTTGAGTTGTTATTATTATTCGCACTTGGACTTATTCGATTTTTTTAGGGTTGACACTGAGAGTGGGTGTGTCGACCCGTGATAGATAGGTCTTTAGGACTGTATTACCACTGATTGGTAACAGGATGGAAAAAAAAAAGAAGTACTAAATGCAGGCCTGAGTCATTCGAAGTCATCTATCAAGTGTTCTCTGTGAGACTTGAAAACTTGTATTGTGACTGTCGTGGAGCCGAGATAAAGTGTACAGGGAAAATGAATCGCCTCTGTTGCCGTCACACCACAATGTCCAGACAAAATTGATTGGGTGCCACAAGGGGGATGTGATAGCGTTTACAGATACAGGCGATGGAAAGCAATTCTGAAATTAGAGTTAACCACCAGAGTTCCTGAAAATCGTGTACTCATGTGAAACTTACACGAATTTCCTCTTTCTGTGGTTACACGGTATAATATGTGAGTTTACGTTACATGTCCCAAATGTAAGTCGTAGATTCAAGTGCTTCGTATTTGTAGGTAACTTTAATTCACGTTTGGCAGGAAGGGTTTACCAATTAAGGATATATTCTGTCCTCGTTTTATACACGATGTTACGGATTTGGAGATATTAATTTGTGTGAAGGAGTATTATCAAAAATGGATTATGTCTAGACTTGGTAAATGGGTATATAACTTATTACCAAGTTTTGGAACAAATGTATAACCAGCAAGACTTATATAAGCCTCCCTTAATTATTTAAAGTC